ATCGGCGCTCAATAGCCTGAGCTAGGTAGAGCTACAGATCAGATAGAGAAAGTGGGTTCTTTCAATAGTAAGCGGCTTTCACACAAGGAGGCCTATAAAAGAAATCATCGGCTCGCGCAACGAACAGCTGAAAATAACACCGCACTAATGCACTGAATTAAACTGCCTTCCACACTGCAAGGAGCGCATTCGGTCCGAGGAAGGGTCTTCACAAATAGTGGTCTCGGCAGCTGTCTAAACAGGGCTTACACCAAAAATAGAATACACTCGCATCAAAAGGACTCTCTCTGACACCAAAAATGAAAAGCTAAGCTAGGCGCAAAATAAGGAGACACCAGCAACATGTATGTACATAAAAATGCACCACACTTGCATCATGGGTTGACTTGATCATCATCCTTACAAGGAGGTCCATCAGAGGTCAATCCATACATAGCTCCCCAGTAAATAACATCAGCTTTGCAAAACTGTACTTCCTTACACGCCAAGGCAAACAAACAAGGCCCGCAAGAGTATCTTCTTTTCCAAGAAGTATCTCTATATTGCAGACCATAGTTTGTTTCTATTCATTTGTTGGTCACGACGTAGTGAGTAGTTGGTCATTCTTGATGAAGTGACTTGCCTCTTTCTCCTCAGCCTGGGACAACCGGCCCATGGCATACCGAGCAGTCCTGGGCGGTGGTGGGTTTGGTGGTGTCGAGGAGGTGGTGGATGTGGACAACAAGGGTATCTTCGGGGGGATCGGGTTGGGAGAGTATCTCTCGCTGATGCATGTCTGTGTCCAAGCCATGGCAGAGAAAGTGAAACGGAAGCGCGGAGCGCTACGGAGGCGTCGAACGAAGGCGATAGCGAGGCTAATCTGAAAGGTAAATGCTATGTATAAGTACGCGAAGACAGTGGCACGCAGGATCTGTGACAGCTACTGGTTGATGCATCATGTCTGTAGCGTTCGTATGCGAAAAGTAGGAAGGAACATGTTGCCCATCACCTGGAAAAGCCAAGAAACAAGTTAGTTGACATGTAGGACTTCCAGTGTGACGACTTAGGAATGCAGGGCACAAGCGTCTGTGGAAAGGTCCTGACAGCCGCGCGCGCACTAGGTCGAACGAGTTTGACCATTTGTCTTGGCCTACGAAGGCGTTTGGCAAAACCTTCACCCAGTCCCCATGGAACATAGTGGCGCCAATCAATTTGGTGCGCTAGTAAGAATTTTCTGCAACACTTGCGCTCCCTGACCGGCCATCTTCTTTGACAACAAGTACGCCGGCCAGGGGCCAGCAATACCACAGGTAGTACTCGAAGTCAGTGAAGTGACAGGTCGTGACTTATATGCAAGGCAACCGTCTTCAACAAACAGTGCTAATCTTGCCAGGCTAATTTGAGCCGCAGGCACAAATAGCTGAAGTTTAAGTTTCTCACTAGAACAAAAGCAACATGCATTGAATTCACTCCTCTCACTCTCCGTGCAAATAATCTCCAAGGTAAAACATACCATGTGAGAAGTCAACATGTGTGCATACCGTAGGGCGCCATCCACGCATATATGCCCTGTGTTCAAAAAGATCCAGAAGGTGGATGTGCATCTACTTCCTTCAAACAACCACTGCGTACAGCATCTATTAAAGCTTGAGGACTAGCAGACTTCTTAGTAAGACAATCAGCAAGACACCACTGAGTGCGTACCGTATATGTGACAAATGAGCTATAGCACCAGAACATGCTTCCTTCCTAAGCATTTAGATCACGTGGATGGTCTCTTGTTGCTCAGGGACATGTGATGTGCTCGCTGTGGTCACAAGGTTGTTTGCATCAGTGCGCATGTGAATGTCTGTTGAGCCACCTGTGATGTCCTTGATCGCCTCTTAGCATCTGGCAAGTGCCATAACACTTCATAAATGCATACAACTCTGCAACAGTTGTGGACAGGGTTGTTCCTTGATCTTTGAAGATTCAAAGAAATAAGGGAGCCTCTAGTGTTCTTCTGTTTGTGCTTCCTTTGCTCACCCATAAAAGTCGCCATAGCACGCTGAGAGGACTTGTCACTGTTGCTTCTGAATGCGGCATCTGGCATTGCAATCCAGTGTGGGCGACCTTCCAGTGGCCAAAAACGTAACTCCATTGGATCAGTCACGATTTGTTTGCACAGCTTGTTCAAGGCCTTACAATCACCTATTGTTGGTCCTGCTGACGCTGATGCAGACCTGGAGAATTGGTAGCACGCTTGAAACTGTGTCCTGGACTGTAACCAGTTGATGCTGCCAAGAAGGGGTCTAAAGGATGTGTTCATTTCCTTGTCACACTTATCTTCATCCTTTGCACCTTTAGGAAAAATCATGTCTGTCAATTCCTGAGCACAAAGGGAACTGTTCAACAGATGTATTCCTTCTTCTTGGTCTGCTCTTGTATCTTCCAGGAGACACGCAGGCCAGTGAACATAAGGTCATTAGTGTCTTAAACTGTGACTCCACAATCTCCTTGAACTCTTTCAAAAAGATGTCATTACCTGTCACAAAAAGATCATCAACATGTAAACAACACATACCAATGGGTCCATGAAACAATTGCATGCACAGGGTCCATGAAATGCTCAAGCAACTCTTCCACAACTTCAGGTGTAAGCTGAGGTGCTTCTCACACAGTGTATGTGCGTTCAGCAGGAAGAAAAAGACTGACAAGCGTTTTAGCTTCTTCCTCTAGAACAATTGCATGTTTCTCGTTTCGTATGTCCGTATTCGACTCGGGAATCCACCAAAAACCTTTTCGCTTAACAATAGAAGAACGAAAACAAAAACGTGAACGTGAATTCGTTGGTTCGGGTGTGCGAAGAGCTTTAGCGCGATACGCAACTTGAGCGTGACCATTCGCATATTTATGCCAACCAGACTTGTGCTCTACGGAGTCAAGGAAGTTCTGGAGTTCCTGATCTATCACAGGGGTCCGTTTTCCCTCCTCAACCTTAAGTTCCTTAAGCGTCACCGTTTTCTCCGACCTATTCGCGAAGCACATCGAAAACAGGCGTTCTTCACAGAGAATAGACCTACGAACTTCCTCCGCTGTGTCGTGGAATTCGTTGTGCTGCGCGCCGGTTAGCCCACGGCCATATCATCACATCTTACATCCGGTGGGGTGGGGTGCGTTGGGGTGGAGGGTGGGGTGGGTGGGGATCTAATGGAATGATTGGCCCACTGCCACATCATCACATCTTACATCCGGGTGGGGTGGGGTACTCCTTTGCGCGAAGTGGTCATGCTGTGCAGGTGTGCAGGGTTGCTCAGGGTGCGGACAGCACGCAAAAGCCTACGCACAAAGCATCACCAGCATCATGGGTGTGGTGGGTTGGTGTGTGGTATGGGCAAATCAGCGTCACAAGCGACGAGATTTTCAGCGTCACAAGCGAGAGCCTCACCGGTAGGAAGACTCGGAAGACGCGATTTCCCCACTGGTTCTCCATGTCCGTTCGTTGTTTCAGAGGACCTTCTGGGAGTCTTCCGAATCTCCACACCACTCCCACCCAGTGGGTGACCACAGACGTGCTCCGCCTTCGATCGAACCACAGACCGAGCGAGAGCGCCTTCGGAGGAGCTCTTGCGAGCCTTCTGCTGCAGCAGCTCCAATGCAGGCTCCTTCAACGGAGCGGTCCACTACGAAAGCCGCGGCCCCGTCAAGTCGTGAACTCCTTCCTTCAACTCCCCTCCTTGTTAAATTGGGTGCGCAGTGGATGAAGACAACAGAAAGAGAGCCAACAATTGTCCAAGTTTTCTCATGTAATCCATCCCGTGAAGTGCCGGACCAAATTTGAATCCGGATTCCCAAAGATTCTAGAGTCTATACTTTCAAAACTTGCCGACGCTGCTAGGATCTGCAAACGGACAACATGATGGTACGAAAGATGATGAACCGGAGCAGCAAACCGGTGTGAAGATCCTTGAAGAAAGTATATAAAAGTATCATCGCTATTGAGATTCCGTCCCGCAGCCGCTTTTCCATGTGAGTCTTCGAAAAGCCCGTGCTCTGCGCCTCACACTCCGCAGCCGCCCAAGCCAACAGCAGTGCCGCCCAGCGCATCGGCTGGAGGGAGAATTGCGGCGTTTGAGCTAGTGAAATGGCTTGCGGATGCTTGCGGTGTCTTTTCCCAACTCTCTGGTGAAATGTTTGAGGGTGTCCAAGCTGGAGTGGTTCAACTAGCTTCTCAGGAGTCAGCATATGTCAGCATAGGACCTTTTGCACGTGCATTTCCTTCCAAAACTAATTACAATCTATATAATTACGTCTAATTACCGATCCTTCTTTCGGATCCAAGCCAAGCCTCTTGAGATCTTTTTGCAGTGGGTGTGACCGCATAATGGGTCACATGTTTGTTTTTTTTAATATCACCTGTTTGTTCTTGTTGGTGCTTGGATCATGTCGAATTCACAGATCCACGGGTTTTCCCGGGACGACCAGGTGAGACGATGGCGAGTCTTTGGGTCCAAACTTGGGTGAAGGACGACAAGACTGGAACAGAGTTCTGAGACGTTCTGGGTAAAACAGGGCTCCAACCGGATCCTTAGAAGGTGGTTGAGTGGGTACATTCCAAGAGCCAATTAAACTTCCAAGCTACTACGCCTACTGATGCGTCTGTGTGTTCATGCACAAGCAAAGCAAGACTTCACTGGTGATTCCACAACATTCCACAAGTGCATGGGTCTGGCAATGCCCAGCTAGAGTAAAAATAAGATCGAGATGAAAAAGGGGAGGTCAGGTTCCCTTAAATAAGGTGCCTTCTATTTAATAAAGGGGGGGGCCTTAACCTTCCCTTGTACCTCTTAGACATCTTATAATATTTTAACTTACTGCATGGGTTTGCTGTTTGCTTGGCATTTGCACCGGGGCGACCAGAGGCGCGTTCCAGTGAATATACATACGCACCCTTCGTGAACTGAACTCCCAATCTAAAACACGTCCGAAAGCAAAGCAGCGTCCGTTCAGGCTCCATTCAAGTACTCTTCTTTTTGCAAATTGCATGCAGTATGAACGATGATGTACAGGGCCTTGATAGGTAAGTGATGGTAGGTGTCAGGCGCCAGCAGCAGGTTAGTTGAGAGTCGAGTGCTACAAATCAGCAAAGCAGCAGCTCTGCTCTGTGCCAATTAACCATTGACCCTCATCGTCTTGGTGACGAAACTGAAACACTACATGCTCCATGCTCGCTCCGACTGTGTTGTGCGATCAATGACGATAAAGGGACCAAAGGGTCCCAAGTGTCACTGCACTCGAATGCTTGTTCAAAATCTTGGCACCCTTTGGTTTCACAGTTTCACTGGCCTGTGCAGCCAACATCTTTTGCTTCAACTGCACTCCAACTGCATTGCTTCACTGCTTCCATGATCTCACGGATAATATCACGAATTCCACGGGCAGATCTCTGCTCACAATCTCTCTCTGTCTCTCTCTCTCTCTCTTTCTCCGGTCACAACTCCGTCGCTCGGATAGCTCTGTGAATTCCAAGCGAACAGGATCTCCTTTGCGGATCTTTGCGGACCTTCCGAATCCCAGTCCAACCACGGACCTTCCTTGGGGAGGAAGCAGTTTCCATGGTGCATAGAGCTTTGTGCCGCTAGCGCTTTCAGAAGTTGGAGTGTAAAGTGTCGAAAGAAGTGAGCCTCACCTATGAAGCTGAAATCCGCGCGGCCAGGGTTTGCTCCTCGGCTGAAGCCACATTCGAAGCCAAAGTCCATCAGCTGTCCATGGCACTCCAGGTCCTCTTCTGGCCCACCTCCACCTGCAAGGAAGGAGTGGCGGTGGACAACAGGGAAAAACATAAATACATTATATCGAAACAGTCACACACACACACACACACGGTGATCAGTTCAGTTTGTCTTGTTCAGTGTCTAAAATCGTGAAGTGTTTGCACATGAACCAGGAGTTACATGGGGTGCCGGACCAGCATACCTCCTCACGGGTCGATGGACAGGTGACGGAAGGAGGTGTCTCTTTTCGACAGGTCGACACAGCGAACTGGGCAAACTTGAGAGAGGAGGGGGTGAACGAAAGGTAGCAGGCAATCACAAGTAACCCTGGTAGAAGTCCATGACGGCTTGAACCGGCGCAGGGGGGATTTGATCCAGGGGGGGGGGGCCCCCCCGACGAACAGAATCAACTCTTACAGGACCAAATTCAATGCACAATCCCAACTCCTGATTGTAATACATGTTTGCTAAAGCAAGGAGAACTCAGGTAGCTCAAGCCACCTTTCGTGATGAGCCATCAAGATCGAATACCCTTGGGCAAAGAAAAAGACGCTCCGTGGTGACCCAAGCTAGATCTATGGCTATACCGAATCCGTATCTTCAAAACTGCCGGAAGGGAACAATGACAATGACTGGAGCGCCGCTTTCGTTCTTACAATTACTGATGCAGTGTAGAACATGTGTCAAGAACATGTGTGTAGATCAACCTGTGACTGTACTGAACTAGCAATCAACAAATGGATCATACGTGCTTTCGGCTTTCCAGATCCATGTGTGCTTGTCAGTGCTCCCAGCCTCCATGAAGGGCCGCAAGGACACCGGTTCAAAGTCTGGCCACAGACCTCAGATGGTCCCACTTGACGAAAAAGCACAGGGCTCCAACCAGATCCTCAGGTGGTTAGACCTCCCTGGCACCCACCCCTGGCCCATCGAACCGAAACGTACCTGCAGTTCCATAGAGTTGGGTGTTGAATGGGGTGCCCAGAACATTCACGGCCTAAAAAGATCTGAAAAGGCAGCCCGACATGGAACGCCTGGTATGGTTTCGTTTCTCGATTTTCGGAGAGATCTGGTGAAATCTCCCAATCTGGTTGACCATCATGCATGGATGACAGTTTCGATCAACAAATAGTGACCAAAAGCTGCGTCTGGTGCCATCCCTATTAGGTGGGAGGCCATCGCTATTAGGTTGGAGGCCATCGCTAATAGAAACAAAGACACAAGAAAAGGAAAAAAGGATAAGAAAGGTCTAATATAGATCTCCAAGTGGCGGTAGTGCTTTCCAAAGATCCGCCACTCCTCTGCAGGCCTCCTGAGCTCCGAATCAAGCTCGATGCCGGCCTTCCGCTTTGGTGTTTCTGCCATCCGGGCGACTTGCAGTGTTCGATATGAGATCCTATCAGCATTCAGCTTACAAACTGCTGAGAGATTAAGGCGATTTAAGGATGGTTGAGGATTAACGCCAAACTGTGAGGGTGATGCATCTTGCCTTTCAAACCCATCCTTCTTCTGTTTCATCGAAGCTCAAGCAGCTATGCAGCTATCCAGGCACATGATTGTTTTTTGTGTTTTGTTCTTATATAATTATTAACTCTTGTTTCATTGTGGGATGTTGTGTTTTTTCAATTATGTTGTGTTGACGTGTGTGTTGTTTCTTGGTAGAACGATAAGGAGATATCCCAACGTCCACCCCCCCGGTCCACTGTTATTATTTGGCATTCAAGTAGTACCCTTGCTTTGCCGAAAAGGATCACACAATCACCACAAGACTTGCAAATCAGTTCTCCCTGGCAGGAGCTTTTTCATCGCTGGTCCTACAATGAAATGGCTTTTTCATCGAGTCATCCAGACCAGTTCTTCTTCTGCGCAGGGTAGACCAGAAGCTTCGGGGGGGTGGCTGCTCAGGCTGTGTGTATGCTCTTGTTGCGCTCCGAAAATTGCAAGACCGGCCTTTTGCCCTAGCCTAGCAGTATCCACGCTTCCCAAACAGATTGAAAAAAACCAACAGATTCGATAAGTTAGCTCAAACGCTCAAGCAAAGTTGCTCATACGCGGTTGGACCATGAGTTGAGTTCATGCTCGATCCGCACAAATAAACAAAACAAACATACGATATGTAAACGACATTTCAATGCGTGACACCAATACATCAGTGATCCCAGTAAATGCCGCGTCAACTTCTTTCCTTCATTCGGTGGAGATGACCGGGCGAGCGCCGTTTTGATGGAAGCTGCGAGCTTTGGTTCACCGAACGTGGACACTTCTCCCATCTCGCATCTCCCAGAGTTGGCAGTTTTATGGACTTGTTTTTTTTGGTTTTTCGCATCAGAACAACAAGAAGTCCCCAAGCCACCAAAAATCGGTGAAGGTGACCTGCAGGTGACCGCGCCAAGGCTCATGATGTTTAGCTCTTCTTCAGTATAGTTCGCATACCTGGCACTGTCGACGGCCACATCACATCATGAAGGTCTCGGCAGTTGGTCTCGTACTGAAGAGGTCCAGTTCTTAGCTTCCCAAGCTTTCTTGCTGATTCATATCTATGATATGGGCTCTGGTCTTCCGAAGTGCTCGCTAACTTAGGGGTAATGTCCATGTCCAAAACCTACCCATGGAGTTTCGATGCTGGGACTCTGTTCAGTTTTGGAGGTCAACCAAGCTGCAACAAGTAGGGTCAGAGTTCTGGCATGCAAGCACCTGCAATTTCAGGGAGGTACACATCGACCTACTAACATGGAACACATACGACATACTGAATCATACTGACATGGAAGTGCAACAACATAAGTAACATAAGCGTCTATTTAAAGAAACCAAACAAAAACAAGAAAGATCAAAAAAATACATCCCATGGCATATCTTCTGCAAGGACTTCAGAAGCTCTGATTCCTTTCGGTCCATTCTTAGAGCCCGATCGGGTCCAAGCAAATTCAACTCGATTCTGAATGAATGTCTGAAAGGTTTGAGGATTCTGGGTTGAACCAACACATCGTTCTAATCAACATTGGCAATCTGGTTGTTTGCAACCCTTCACATATACCTTTAACCTCATCTCATGGATTCTTCAAACTGAAGGTGCTGCGGTGCTGTGTTTGTGACACCAAAGTTTAGCACATTGTCCTCATGTCCTGTCCAAAGCTTCATGAACCTGAAGCTTCGCGACTGCATTCTACAGCGAAGGGCGCCCAAACCCTTGTGGTTCGGAAGAGCGGCCTCTTTTCGGAGCTAGTCACTCACATCGAGCTTCCCGGATCTTCCCGGTACGCCTCTGGCTCGGTGTATTCATACCTTTGGGTGTGTCAAACGGGAGAGCAGCAGTTCTATATATGTATTATATCATTCTTTTGTGACCCACAAAAAACGACGCTTGGAAGCACGAACGAAGAATTGGTCCGAATGGGATAGGGTGGATTTTCTCTGCTGTCTTATAACCCACGGTATACATTTCATCCATGTCCATCAAACTTCACAAACTTCACCTGTCTCACATTCCATCGCCCAAGCCCCAACGCAAAATACACATACAAAAAACAAATCACAACCATCCGAGTGGCAGGGGCAAGCCCAGAGCTTCCAGGCTGGGAAAGAAGCGCGGCACCAAGCGCAGCTCTGTAGGGCCACAGCGCGTGAGCCTCAGACGCAGCGGACTGCCGGACACTCGGTTATTGGTCGAAGGTGATCAATTTGGAAGGTGTTGAATAAAGCACCTGACCCCCGAACCATTTGGCAGGAACATCAAGGTGTTTAGATGTGTTTAGATGTTTTGTTTGGCTTTTCCACCTGCACCCGCAATGAGAGGGACACTCACCAGCAACCCACAAGTCACGGTGACCTGCAGGTGATCCACGGACGAAACCTGGGTAGGTGGTGTGAGAATCTGGGGCTCCTCTGCAGATGTCGGCCCTGGGAAGGGAAGACGACTTCCCTCTAGAAACCGGGGGTGGACTCCACTTCCATTTGGCTTCCGCACAGCTCAGCCTTTGCTCCCACAAACGTTCCTTCCGATGAGACGGGGAAACAACGGATACAGGGAAAGGATTGGCTAAATGGCTTGCCCCTTCCAGCCCTTCAGCTTCCCCTTATTGTTCTGAAAACACCTCCTGTCTGTGGTTCTTCTGTTGGATCAAACATCCATGAAATATCTCTCCTCTCACTGGAGCCATATCAAAACAGAAACCATCTGAACTGCCGCTACCTAGCCCAAGCGTCTCCTTGCAACTGTCTCGAATCGATTGCTTTGACCAGGTGATCAGCCCTGGCCATCGTCCGCTCGCACGGACGACAGGTGAAAACTCCTCCGTGTCGCGCAGACTCGCGCAGACTCCAGAGATTGAAGAAATACCAAAAGCTCTTAGGCAGAAAACCAAACAACACACCTAGCACTTCCTGTCTGGGTGCCCTGTCTGGAGGGGGTATGAGTAGGGTAGGGTAGTCTATTGGACACCCAAACAGGATGGTCCAGGCAAGTCAGTCGTTGGTTGACATGTTGGGATGGTGTTTCAATCCCAAGTTTTGTGGAGAAGGGCACCCCATCCATGGGTTCATTCGCCCAACGTGAAATTCGTGGCATATGCCCATCGGCTTTTAAACCTCACTCTGGAGAACATGTAAAAAGCAACGTGGAGGAGGAAGTCCTGGCAATGTGCTTGAAGTAACAAGCGAGGGTTTCGACGTCTCCAACATCCCAAAACCACTCACATTTTGAGAAATATGCCTGGAGCGACTCCTTCTAGATATTCTGGTATAGTACAGGTTGCAAAAAAATTCTTTCTTGTTGGAGGCATCAAAACTGTGCCTGGACACGAACCAGAATCAGAAGTGCTTTTTGCGCCTGTATGCAAATATACAATCAATGCTTGTGAATGTGTTTCAATGTTTAATCCTTGTGAATGTGTTTCAATGTTTATGTGGATGATTAATCCACATAAAATATATAGATCGAATTCATGATCAAGGCACCAAAGAGTTCGGAACTGTCGACATTGAATCCCCCTCAGAAGACCTTGAGTCAATCAAGCATCCCTGTATAATCCGGTGGTATTTCAGCACAGTGCCTAGTATAGACCTCAAGAAGACCCACCAGGGTCAGAACTGGATTCCACTTCTACCAGCACCTTCCGCATCTCTTGACATTTCCAGTTACCACATCCCACCCGTCACATCCCACATCCTCATCCCATCCCACCTTCACGCCAGAAGTTCAAGTGATTCTTCGCATACATTGGGGGCTGCTGTCCACTTGGCAGGAGTGGAACTCCCTGAGTCTTCACCAAAACACCGGTGGTCACCACGCCTCACGACGGCCAGAGATGTGTTCAAAACAATGTGAGGCATGTGTTTTCCTTGGCCACTGGACTAGGTCGCCCTTCGATACTATACATAACTCTATACAGCTATACATATTGTATGATATGATTCAACAAAAAGGAACACAACACTGATGAACCACAACGGGAGGGTCCAACCTGTTTGGTTCCCAGTTTTTGTTCAATGGTTCCACGATTGAAAACTGGACATCATGGTACCCATTTTGGGGGAGGTCCTCTGTCAAAACTACCCTAAAACCACTGAACCACTGATTGAATCTGATTGAGACGAACTGATTGCCTGTTTTGTGCCAACTGAGCCATGCCAAAGCGGGCAATTGAAAAGGTGATTGGAAAAAACGTCAGGAACCCCAAACTTCCAATGCACTAGAAAGGCTAGACACAATATTCTCCCAACATATTCCAACCTATCCAACCTTATCCACATCACCAAAAACAAGGTGATAAATTTGTGGATCCACCCTTCAAAAGGATGGCTACCCAATACAAACCTGAGAAACTGCAAAACGAAAGCCAGCGTTTTTACTTTCGAGTGTGCTTTCTCAGGCCACCCCCGAACGCCCTTCTTACTCAGCTGGCGCAGGTATAGATACCCAGGGTCACTACAATTCAGTTAGCAGGTATAGTACTGCAAGTTCCCTTCCCGTCAACCGCTCGATAACCTTTACACACGCACAGCAATCCACAGCTTTGAAGTCTCATTCTTGCATTGAACTTATATAGGTGTGTAAGAGGTATAGCCACATTATACGGACCCAGGGTAGCTACAATTCTGTTGCCAGGTATCCCACTTCAATTTCCCTACCCTGGGTCCGCGCGCGCGCCTTGCTGGCTCTCGGCTGCCCGTGATTTAGGCGCGCACGCGCGTACCCAGGGCAGCTACAAGGCAGTTGCCAGGTATACCCAGGGTAGCTACAATTCAGTTGCCAAGTATAGCACTGCAACCAACCGAAGACAATTGCATTTCTTAAAATCACAAAAAAGCACCTCCAAAACCTTGCTTCCGTGCACCCGCTACACACCACCTACTTTCGAGTGTGCTTTCTCAGGCCACCCCCCAAACCCCCTTCTTAATCTGCTGATGCCTTGCCAGGTATAGATACCCAGGGTAGCTACAATTCAGTTGCCAGGTATAGTACTTCCAGTTGCAGTTGCCAGGTATACCCTGAGTTGCGCGGACCCAGGGTAGGGAAATTGAAGTGGGATACCTGGCAACAGAATTGTAGCTACACTGGGACCGTATGAATGCTATGTGGCTATACCTCTTACACACCTATATAAGTTCAATGCAATAATGAGACTTCAAAGCTGCGGATTGCTGTGCGTGTGTAAAGTGTGTAAAGGTTATCGAGCGGTTGATGGAAAGGGAACTTGAAGTACTATACCTGCTAACTGAATTGTAGTTACCCTGGGTATCTATACCTGGCAAGGTGCCAACGACACCTTACCATTCAGATGATGCAAATGATGCAAATTGCACTTCTTGCATCACCACCCCTCAAAACACCGCCAACACAACCTCAAAAAACCTTCCATCCGTCCACCCTCCTCCCCCAGCATGTGCCGAGTATACGTGTACCTTTTGCTAACTACTCACTTCGTTCGCCAAGCACAACTCAGCTGGCGCCTTCTACGAAGGTTGGCTTTCATAAAGGACACACCCCTTCAAAAGTGGTGTGGCTCAAATCCCAGTCAACGTCAACCCCTTTCACACCTGCCACGTGTGTGTGTGTGTGGGGACGGGGGTCTCACCGTAGTAGCAGGGGCACTGAGCATTCCTTGCAAGCTCAGTGCAACGAAGCTATGTTTTGCAGTCACCTTCGGTTTTGCAGCCACTAACAAGTCAAGGGCACTTCATAACTGAACTCCCACTGGACGTTCCCTCACTGGAACTATGAGTCTAACTGTGACCTGCTGCATCTTCCCACTTGGGTGTGCAGTGTGATCCCCGCAAGGGGCGCCGAAGCCAATCCGGATTGCAGCTTTACTGACCTGCTTTTTTGCCCGAAGCCCATGACTGATCAATCGTCTTGCCCGAAGCCGATGACTGATCAATCGTCTTGCAGGACCAATTGAACTTATGCCGACGGGCTCACGTGCTACTCACTGGAATCTCAATCTCCACCACGTTCACGTTTCTGCAGAAGTTTTCACGTCTCTCAGTTGGTTTCAACCGTTACCATATACCAAAGGCAAACTTTCAGCTGATTTTGTTGCACTATTTTCCACCCACCCACCACTGCCTTTTTCTCTCTTGCAGTTTTCTTCGTTTGTTAGGTTTTCCTTCAGGCTTGTTAGGTTGCTCTTGAGGCTCGTTTGCCGCACCCCTCGTCTTCGTTTCTTTCTCTCCTGCCTTTTGCTTTCTTTCTAGGTCTGACTCTTTTCTAGAGGCTTTTAGGTGCTTAACCAGGCCTTTTAGTCAAGGGCTACGTATTCACTCGGTTTTTTGCCTTTCTAGAACCTAACTGATTCCAACGCTGTGGAAAGTCTTGTTTCCACGTTGAGCAAGTGCGCGCCGATATGCGGCCAGTTGTGTGTGTCACACCCCGTCCTCAGGGGTCTCACCGTGGTAGCAGGGGCACAGAGCACTCCGTGCCAAGCTCAGTGCAACGAAGCTATGCCTTGGAGTGGGATGCACGGATTGATCACCCGTGTGTACCTGCGATTTTCGGAACTTTTGAGCAAGCTGTGACTCCAATTTTTTCCCTTCACCGTCCTCCCCAGAGTTCACCTGCGCTGATTTGCAGACGACCTTTGTTCAAGCACCTTCAATTGCGCCGACTCTTCACCTTTCGATTTTGCAGTCACTAACAAGTCAAGGGCACTTCATAACTGAACTTCCACTGGACGGTACGTTCCCTCACTGGAACTATGAGTCTGTAACCCTAAGTCATACGGAGCCTTCTTGGCTTTAGTTCCCCTTTAGATAAACATGCAATGGGGTGGCAGGGATGCACACTGGACTGGTACCAACGAAGACGCCAGTGCTGCATCCAATCGATCTGGGACGCAGGATCGATCGACCTGTGTTTCGACTTTCATTGGCTACTTGGCCCCTGCTTGTAATTAGAACAAGACCTCGACCATTGCTCTGGCTTTGCTGCAAAGGGTATACTGAGCTCTGCAGACTTGCACTGGTTCCTCGATGATCGTTCGATGTTTGCTTTGGGACTTCGATCCTGTGGGATCTTGGAAAATTGGCTTCTTTGTTGACGATTAAACATGATTAAACGCCGCTTCACTTCATCCCTGTTAGGCCGATTTGAATGTCTTGGCCAGTTTCACGGCAAGTGGCATTCAAACCAGTTGAACCGAACACATCGTATCTCGAGTGTGTGCTCACTCCGTGCATTCGCAGGGAACCGGAACCCTGCAGTTCCGAACTCGTCGCCAGACTTCGCTGGCATGGCGCAAGTGCGGCCGCTGCTGCGCCTGGCTGGGTCTTGGCTGCCAAGTCCTGCAAGCTCAAGGTGGAGCGTGTGAGTCTCCAACCTTGGAGGCCCCGGTGCGGCCAGCGGTGCGGCACCGAAGCTTGCGAGGCCGGCGTGAATGCATGCCCTGCTGTTTGGGGGGTGGAGAAAGGAGAGGCCTTCACATTCATCGGCTGGGGCATTAAATGTTTGTTCCTTGTTGTGCGTGTGGTTGAAGTGATCAATTAAAAAGAAAAAGGAGAATTCGCAGTCGCAGTCCATCTATTCAAGCTGCGTTTTGAGAGTCTCCAATCTACGTTTTCGACTGCTTCCCTGGCCCTGGCGTATGCCGTACCCACCAATTTGCGAACTTCCTGGAGTGGCAGATTCTAAACTTAAGTAGGTCCAAGCCAACCCGAATCAAATGACTGGCTGCGCTCCCACGTGTGTAAACACAGAAAAAAAAAGATCCCCGGGAACAATCAGACCGCCAACCCACGAAGCGTACCTTGGTGCCATTTTCCCCCCGGAATTAGATATTGGGACATCACACTCTGGGTGAAAGGAGCCATGACCGGTCATGGCAGTGGATCATCAGGGGTGGCAGGAGTTTGTTTTGTTTCTGCAAGCACAGATGCACAGGCAAACATGTTACACTCTGACTCACTAACATGGATAAGTCGAACATGGCCACTACCAACAAAGGGTTTTCAATCCGCCGGCCTGCCGGCGTGTTTTGTGGATTGTCTTGGTTAGTATAGCTTGTCTTGGTTTCAGCTTAAGGTTTGTCTCTCCGCGCGGATTTTTCGACAGCCTGACGCACCCCCCCCCTTGCCTTACTTTTAGTAAAGAAAATCATCTTCCCAACTCATTTTTCTTCTTTTAATGTTGAGGTGCTCGTACTTTTAGTAAAGAAAATCATCTTCCCAACTCATTTTTCGTCTTTTAATGTTGAGGTGCTCGTACTTTTAATAGAGAAAATCATCTTCCCAACTCATTTTTCTTCTTTTAATGTTGAGGTGCTCGTACTTTTAATAAAGAAAATCATCTTCCCAACTCAATTTTCTTCTTTTAATGTTGAGGTGCTCGTACTTTTAGTAATGAAAATCATCTTCCCGACTCATTTTTCGTCTTTTAATGTTGAGGCGCTCCTACTTTTAGTAATGAAAATCATCTTCCCAACTCATTTTAATAATCTCCCCAACTCATTTTCTTCTTTTAATGTTGAGGTGCTCGTACTTTTAGTAATGAAAATCATCTTCCCAACTCATTTTTCGTCTTTTAATGTTGAGGCGCTCCTACTCCCCTCTCGCCTTGTCTTGTGTTGTCGCCTTGTCTGATGCACTTGTCTTCGCTTCTCTTCTCTTTTCGTTCTCGTTCTCTTCTCTTCCCCCTCTTCGTCTTTTCCAAGCAGGCCATGCATTGGCGCACCGTCGCGCGTGTAGAAAAACGTATAAAAACCTTGGTTTTTCCACGCGCTTTGCGGGAACTCGCTGCCAATTGGGTTCTATATCGCTTACACTGTCACGGCGTTATTCTGGGCAATGGCTCTTACACGACTTCGTTCTGACACCGCAACCTGTGCACCTTCCAAGTCCTGTCGCGCACAAGCCCCTTGCAACCATTTCCTCGCTACTTTTTTTCGCTTACATGTCGCTTTTGCAGAAGCTCTGTGTTACACACGCGCTCTCTGCAAGTACTGTTCGCTGCCCACTCGCTTTTACACCAGCGCAGCTTTTGTTTTTGGCCAGTTGCTCTCCACTTACATGGCTCTTACACTACTTCGTTTTGACGCCGCACCTCATTGACACAAACATCTCCAGCCAGCGTGCATGTTCCAAGTCATGTCGCGCACAAACTCCTTGTTTTCACGCACTTTGATATCGTACACTCTGTTAGCTAACCTT